AAAGATAGAGCTATAATTATATAAAAAAAGGTTCTATGGCTTATTTCTTGGAATCGATTAAGTACTTAAAGAAGCTTGAGGGTCTTTGAATTAGCTTATTTCTTTATCAGTCTGAGCTTACAAGCTCACCAAAGGTGTTTTAAATTTATTTGTATTGGTAAACACTCAGGAGCTTATAAGTCAGATTACTAATAAGTTTTAGCAACAACATTTTTAGAGAGTTGTTGGGCCCCAACTTCATAATGGAGAGCTTAAAAACTCTAGAATTGATGCTGATGGCCCAAAAAGTACTAAATTACCCCATTAAACATTACAAAATTCTAATCAATAACATAGTTAGCCCATAAGTTTTTACAAATGTTCAAGTTCTTGAGGCTACCACATTTCCATTGTTGCCAATAGGCACTATTGGAGATATTTTGGCCAAAGGATACGTAACATCTACTAATGAGGGTTTCAACAATTCCTACAGAGAGGAAATGGTCATATGATGTATCTACTTTAAGACTTCATAAACATAATGGATTTAGTTGAAGAATATATACATGATTCCTCGTTAGAATCAGTTTCTTTTTGGAGAGGAGAAGAACGAAGCAAGAACTCTACATAATAGTTACTAAATTTCTTCTAGTATAAAGTTATATATCTTATTAGGATTTTATTTCTTATTTGGTTACTGGAAATCTTACAATGTTGTTTTCTTCTTTACGTATTCTAACCATATTAGCTTCTTAGACATCTTATATGCATGTTGACATAACTATAGTATTATAGTTATTAGCTGATAACCTAAATTATATTGAGATTCACTCATTGATAGAGTGCCTAACAACATTGTGATTGTGGTTGTTGCCAAGCCCTATTATTTTTTGGATTGAATTTTCTTATGTTTCCCTAAACACTATCCCATTGTGCTACATCAAACTCCTATTTCCTTACAATTGATCAAAATGATGAGATTGTCTAGTGGCATGCCTAATGATCCAGATAATTGTAACTAGGCAGATGTTCAAGCTACTTTGTCTCAAGGGAAATCCTGTCCATGTAAGGTTAGTTTTTGGGTGATGAATCACTCCTAGATCAAATGCACCATTGTCCAATCCAACGAATTATAATACATGCATTAAAGAGAAAATATCCAAGATAAACAGAATTTTCTCTTCTGTTGAGGAAAGAAAGGCAGGAAAGTGGGGACAAAAATTTTATAAATGCATTAAGTAGCAAAAGGATGCAAATAGTACTACAGATTATTAAACAAAGTCATATGCAAACCTTTGGTAAGTATTCCATCACTATCATCATAGGACTACTTTGTGTTACAGCACCAAGAAATTGCACAACATTTGGATGTCGAATCCTCTGAAGCAAGGCAAGCTCATCTCTGAATGCCCTCCTGTACAGGACATTCACTTGTAAGGATGATGAAGTATTGTGAACGTATAATATGCCCAAAACTGCATGGTTCTTAAGTAACCTACACTTTATCATCATCAGAAACTACTTCCTCTCCAAGCTTTTTAATGGCAACTTGTATTCCCCGCCACAATGCTATACGGAAGGTTCCCTGGTGCACATTTCATTCAGCTGACTCAGAAATAAAAAATGACAATAAATGGGGAAATGCAGATGTAGTATAAAAAAATTCTACTGCCATGCACCATATAGCAACTTAAGATAAATGGAAAATCTTTCTTCTTTAAGTTCAATGTCAGTAACAGGAAAGGAAAACAAAAGCAAACTTGATTCAGATTGTTTGCAGGCAGCTTAACAAATGAAGTAAAACATGTCGAAACAAATGTTCAGACAATGACAGATTGGTCTTATCGAGCTTCTCTTCCACTTAATCACTCAACTAACTGAAGATAGTTTACTATTCCTAACAGCTTTTTATGCAGATAAGCAGAATGTAAAACCATCAGGTTTGGATCAGATGAGACATTAATAAAATTTCAAGACTTCCATGAGGTATCAGAAACACTACCAGCAAAGAAAAAATAATAGACACAGTGGTCTAGACATATTTTTATTCGTATATGTACTTAAATATTCTGTACACATTTAATAATTGATGGTTGAATTTAAGGATTTTTCTAGTGAGGCAGCAAAATAGAGGGAAAGAAGTAACATTTTACCTTAGTTATTTCCACACTATTAGTGAAATCAAGTTCACCAGGATCAATTTCATATTCTGGGACTTCACGAGCATGGTTGACATGCATTGGAGCCACCTAAGAGGTAAGATAATATGGGAAGGACATTAACAAAAAGGCAAAAAAAGAAGACAATGTCAGAAGCAACCGTATTATTCAATAGAAACAACAAACTCAAATAATGAAATAAAACCCAAATTTAAATCATACCAGAGGTTTCGCGCCATGTTTCTCCAAGAACTTGATTGCTTCATGGTTTTTATAATGTATAGCATCTGCAAGCGGCTGTTTAGGTGACATTAGATAGTTATACAACATAACTCCATGAATGCTTTAAAAGTCTACCACTAACAAGAAGATGAGAAAATAAACAGTAGTATTATTTTTCCAGACAATAAGCAATAGAACTTCCCATTCGCTTCCTTCTTCTAAGGCCTTTCTCTGCATCTCCTATTGCTGCTTTCAAGTTAATATCATTATTCATATATCTGCAACATCTCTTTTACTTCCCACTTATATTACTATCCAAGCAAATATCTTTATGAATTTGAAAAAATTCCACTCCTCTTCCAGCAATTAACCTAATCAACTAAAGATTAAAGATTTTAAGTTCGTAATATTTCTTTTTCGTTCCCTTATCAAAACATAGAGATCTTATCCCAAAAATCAAGGTACCAGAAAATGGATTTGCACGTGGATTTTGCATATCGTTATACTTTCAACATGTTAACTAAGCACCCAAAAACTGTCCAAACAACAATATGGAAAGAAAACCAGATAAACAGAGAGCAAAGGTTATTACAGTGCTGCCCCAGCGATCTTTGGGATCAACGTCGGCCCCTCCTTCAATGAGTAGCTGAACCACCTTCTTCGAGCCCTGACAGGCGGCCACGTGGAGCGCCGTCCGGTTATCTATGTCGCGAAAGTTAACATCAACGCCAGAATCGAGGAGTTCCTTGATTCCCTCTAGGTCAGCCTCATTGGCCAAATACATTAATCTCACCCCTTGATCCATTCCCTCACCGTCCTCCAACTCGGACTCCTCCAGCTGACGCTGCGGTGCCAACGACGATTGCCTACCGAGCGTAAACCTCGCCGGCACTTTTGCTTCCATTTCAAATATAAACGTGCCAAAAGTTACGACCTAATGAAGAAGACTCCGATTTTTTCGATTTTAGTGGTGGAAAACTTGAAGAAACTACAGCTGATTAACCGCAAAGCTGATAACTACAAACAACAAACAATGGACATATTCTTTCTCCTGTACAAAACTGTTGAGAAGTTAATTTTCTCTATTCCTATTCTCCGGCGAACAAGAAATCGAGAATGAAGATTATTAGACACGGAAAGGAATCAAAGAATGCTTAAACCTCAATTGAACCCCGTTTATTGAGGAACTTAAGCAGGGTTTTGTAATATAAAATGCAAATGCAACTATTGCAAGGATCTATATGATCACGAAGTTTAAGTATCAAATCCTCTAAGTTTAAGATTCTGATATAAAGATCCAGAGAGAGAGATTTTTGAAGGTATGTTTGAAAAGAGAAGAAACGTTGGTGAAGGTTCAGAGGTTGGCGACGACAATTTGTGAAAGAGTAAGAAATATGTGGGCGTCACGCGTCTGGCCCGCGTGTCGGAAAGGCGACACAGCGCATACTAAGAGGTTGTTGGCTAAAATGTACCGGGGTGTTAACGGTACACGATACAGGCTGGTTGAGCTCTGTGTTTTTTTCTTTTATGTTTTGACATTTGACTTTACAGGTGAGGTGACGGCGATTCCACTCATTTGGTTCTGAGCGCGTGATTCTCTGTGTCGGCGGCATTGACATTGTTAAATCCGGACCGTCGATTGTCGCAACTAGAAAAACCTACGGTGAAGAGTCTGCGGTCTATCCGGATTCAAATTGGTGGCCTATTTAAAAAATAAATAAATAAAAGTTAGCGGTTTATTGCGTCAAGCAATGAAGGTGATTACGTAACCGTTTAAGGAGTTGGATGTAACGACGCCGTTTTATCTTTTCAGGGCAAAAGCCGAGGCTACTAGATATATAATAAATCCTATGATGATATACTTCGAACTTGAACTTTCAACTTGAGTTTTATATTTTCTCGAACTTATAATAAAATAATTTTTTTAAAAAAAAGAATACCTTAAAATAAATTGATTAATAATTATTAAATTATTCATCAATTCCAACCTTAATTTGTCATTTACAATCAAACCAAAATTTTTTAAGAAATTTATAATAATTTGTAGTAGCCAACCAAATAATATAATATAATTAAAATTTTATTTTTAATTTTATTAAATTTGTACCTAATAATAATTATCGTATGATAATTTTATCTCATTTAGTAAAATAATTTTTTTTTATTATATTAATATTTTTTATTCTATTATTATTAATTTATAATTTTAACTCAATAAATTATTTTTTTATGATTAACTGTTAACACTAATTCTATATTTTAGTTCTGCAAATCAGGAAGAAAAGAAAAGGGAAAAAAAAATACGAGGCATGAATATTTAAATTATAAAAAGAATTTGAAATGGTTGGTCGTGATTAATTTAAAGGTTACATAATCTATGAAGCTTATTATTTTAAAGCAAAGTTATTAGTTTGATATTATAACATATTTTAATAAATTAATCATGTAAATATAGACTTGATCCAAATGATTACATCATTTATTATTTTTTTCAAAATTTTGAAAAAAAAAAAGTTGATTTTAATACACACAAGTCATGTGATATATATCCATTATAATGCTTTTTCTTTTCTACAAATGGGAAACCAAAAAAAAAAAGAGACTAATACTTGTTCAACTAAGCCTAAGTAGTGTCAATCCAAGTGGAGATGCCTTGGAAGATTCGGCCAACCCATATATCATTTACAACGTATATCTATTTTTATTTATTTTAGATCTTATAATTTGAACACAAAATTATTATAAGAAATTTTGTTATAATAAGTTTCAAACTTATGTCATATAATAATCAAATAAATTAGTTACCGCTTGATTATTTTTTTTAGAAATTGTTTGTTTTATCTTTGTTTTAGCTTATAAATTTTTAAAATATTTTGAGAATACGATAAATGATTAGTTAAATTAAATAAGTCAATAAACTAAACACGTAATTTTTTAAAATTTTATGAGACTACTTTTTTTTCAACTGTAAGAGAAAAAAATAAGCATTACATAAGATATAAAATTAACATGACTCAAACCTGACACAACTTATGGATAAGAGATAATCCAAATAGAGGTAGAAGATAAGAGCTTTAGGGAATTGGTCAAATCTAATATAGCTCTCGTGAATGTGATTTTGTAACACCCACAAATTTTTTATTTTAATTAAATAATTAATAAATATAATTTTTATTAATTTATTTTATTTTATTGTATTTTATTTAATTTAATTTAGAGTAAAAAATAAAATACAATTGATGGAGAATTTAATTGAAAATAATTTTGGAGAAAATAGGTGAAAATTTGGGTTATGATGGTATTTTTGAAAGAAAAATAGAAAAACATAGGTTAAAACGTAATTTTAAAAAGTTTCGCCACGTTAGACGTCCGGTCAGCAGTCCTGACTAACCAGGACGCGCCAAATGGCATAGATGCTGACGCGGGAGGCCACGCGGGGGGCCACATGGGCGATATGCATGTCCGCGATCGAACGACTGAGATCTGTTCCTGTTCGCACGGACATCCTAGATGTGCTCCCTCCCAAACGCGATCGAACGACCAGATTCAAACGCGATCAAACGGCCCAGAGTGAATCGCGATGGACGGTTCAAATTGGATCGCGATGAACGGTCCAGATTCACTCCCTATTTAATCGCGATCGGACGGTCCAGATCAAACGCGATAGACAGCCCAGATCAAAAGCGGATGGATATAAATAACCCCCATCTACACCAAATCCTAACCTTAGCTGCCAGAACCCCTCGCCAGAGAAGACGACCCAGCCGCCAGGGAGAGACTGTCACCACCTGTCGCCGCACCGGAACCCTTTCTAACTACCAAAAAAGGTAAAAACTTTTTTTTGCACGAAATTCAATTTTAAGCTCTCATGGCCAAATTGGAACGAAAAGACCGGCCAGTTGGCCAAAAAATACCGGCAAAGTCTGGCAACAACGCCGCAGAAAATTTCACAAAATGCCTCCGATGAGGCCCTTTCTGATTCTCGTTTCGCGTAATTTTTCTACCGCTGTGATCACCGTTTTTTTCTTTACAGGTTGACCGAAGCAAAACATCCAACCGCAACGTGAGTTGGAGGAGCTGCCACACTGGAGAACCCCGCCGCCTATGAGTTTCGGTTTTTCATATTTTTTCGGCCAACCGATGCCCTTTAACGTATTTTTTCGCAGGGATCGATGCAAAATCGGTCAAATTCGACTGAAAATGGCCTACCTAAGATAAACCGTCGTCGCCTGTCGCTGGAGCACGGCAGAGCCGTCGTGCCGAATTTTTAAAATTGGCCGAGTGGGCCCTAGGATTGATTTTAGGTTTATTTGGAATATTTGTAGGCACTATTAGAGCGTTTCAGGTTCCGAAGAAAAATTCAAGGAACCTAGGGTCCACCCGTAGGCGCAGTAAACAGTTTAGCATTTCAGACACCAAATCAAGTAAGGATCCTTCACCCTATTTTCTATCATAGAACTAAAGTTTAAATAAATAATAATGTGGTATTTTGTGCGATTTTAGTAAACATGCATAATTAATTATAGGTTGCTAATGAAGGTAGAATCGAAAATTATCTACTGTTGTTATTGATTATTTTTACAATTTATCTGCATGATGATATCTTATTTATTTATTTTATGGCTTAAACGCATGCATAATTTATTTTACGTGTTTACTGCCGAATCGAAAAAAAATGAAGTTTAAAAGGTAAAGATATTGTGTGATTAAATGATTAGATAAAAAAACAGTCTTGTTGGATATCCTGCGAGATGGTGGACGGACCGAGTACATAGGGAACCCTACCGTGAACGTTGTCTCATACCGGACGGGGTATGGAGACTTGATAATTTGGCGCTCATACTGGATGGAGTATGAGAACGGTCCACTTCACCCTTATATCGGACGGGGTATTGAGGTTTGATAAATTGCGCTCATACCGGACGGGGTATGGGGACGACACTTAATTGAGAATGATAAATAAAATGGTTCACATGTAGCGGGGGCATCCCTATGAACCTCCATGGATACCAGTAGGCTGGTGAAAAGAGTGGTAGTTATTATTTGGTTTATTGATAATGGATATGAATTTATAATATGTACTATGATGACCGATTATGCATGAAATATTGGTCTGTTTGATATTATTTTTCTTACAGATTATTTTCATAAATCCCACTACGGCAAGTGAACGAAAAAATAATTTTATGATTGATAAATGAATTTACTAAATTTAATACTCTATTAGTGATTTTTGATTTTATACCAACATTTACTTTTATGTGGGTGATATATTGTGATATTCTTACTGGGCTAGTATAGTTCATCATTTATTTAATCATTTCAGATCAAGATGACCAGGTTCTAGAGCCCGATCTGTAAGAAGATTGCGAGTAGATGCTAAATATTTTTTCTTTTCCGTTTATTTCTTAATTTCGTGTATTTCTTTCAAAATGGAGAATTTCGTAATGCTGTTTAGTACTCTTAAGTTATTGTATAAGGAATGTAAACCTTAACCCTTTTATTTCACCTTCGCACTTAAGTTATTATCTATTCCTTTTAAATTTTTGGGGTTCATTATAGATTTGCCCAACATGCAAGACAATCAACCTACATGTTAACTCTCTGTAAAATATAAAAAATAATGTCATACCGATTACATGCAATGAACTAACTAATATGAAGCTCAAGATCTATGGTAGATGGGCTAAACCTATCTCCCTGATGGAGGAATTGAGAAAGGAAGGAGCCTACTTCTAAGTATCAGCTTCCTAATTAATTTCTTTAAGGCTAATCTAAGCCTCTATAAAGCACCAGTGTTTCAGCAGTGATTGCCCATTTGGACCAAGATGGCATGTAATTCAGCCATCGAATTAGTATTGCGATAACGAATGAGATATCTAGCAGTAGCATTATTAGGGTTGACATAAACTAACACTTAATTATTGAGCATGAACCAATGTGTTGGTGGGCCGTCTAAATAATTTATTGGGTTCTTATTATCACTCAAAACCGATTAAACCATTAGTATTGAAATGATAAGAACAAAATAAAAAAAATTTAATAGCAAGTTAAACCAGTTAAGAACCAAATAACAATTTCTTAATCAGTTCACTTACAGTCTCCTAATAAAATCGACTAAAACTAATCTTTTTGTAATTTATTATATTTTTTTATATAGTTATAATATATATGTAATGTGAGTATGTTTTATATTCATATCATATACATATATGTAAATATATTATATATAGATATAAGGGTGGTGTTTCTATGATGGAGCCGTGAGACACTACCCACTAACATATTTTATACATAAGATATTATATATTATACATGTCTGTATATATATAAATTAACACATTAAGTTAATTTATATAAAATAAATATTA